TTTATCTTTATTAAAACAGACCTGTTTTACGATTGCGGCAATTAATTATTTACTTAAAAAAGCTTTTACTGTCATAGCAAATTATTGTATAGACCAATTTCTATGCTTCATTTTATTAACAAAATATTGTAAGAATAGTTCAAAAATAGCTGGACAAGTGTGTGCAAAGAACTTGTTTATTTGCGGAGTTTCAGTCAGGATTCAGACTATAGTGCAGAAACAGCACGAGTGAATGTTACCAATTATCTTTACATTGCCTCAGAAAGTGGACTTATTCGATTCAGTTTAATTCAATTCAGTGTTATTTTATATAGTGCCTTGAGGCAACTTATCGTGCTACACCTCAGTGCATCATTTGATATTCTTGACAATAATATTTTATTATATAGATTAGAGCACACAATTGGTATCAAAGGAACTGTGCTGTAATGGTGTGACTCGACTCTATCTGACAGACTTCCATTTGTTGTTAATGTAAATGAGGAATCTTCTTAGTTATGGGGTTCCGTTACTTACACACCAATGCCAAGTAGCTGGTGGACCTAATATCAGACCACAGCAACCTCTCTGAACAGGCAGACATCCAAGACTGGCTTTCCAGTATGAGGGGTTGGACACCACCAAGCCCTGACATGATTCACGCCTACTGGCTGAAGAAGCTGACTGCACTCCATCGTACAAATGAACCAGCTAATAACCAGCCAGTCAATGAGAGATACCCAGAATGGCTAACCGAAGGCTAGGCAGTCCTGACACCCAAGGACCCCCAGAAGGGACCAGTCCCCTCCAACTACCGACCAATAACCCGCCTCAGCACCACGTGGAAGCTCCTGTCAGGCATCATAGCGGCTAAGCTGAACATGGCTCAATAGATGAGAAAGGAATTTGCAAGAATACCAGAGGCAGAAAACACCAGCTACTGGTAGATGGAGCAGTCACCCGAGACTGCAAGACTAGGCTGACCAACCTGTGCACTACCTGGATTGACTACAAGAAGGCCTATGACTCAATGCCCCACACCTGGATCCTGGAAGGCCTAGACCTATCAACAGGACTTCATCAGGAACTCAGTGGGGGTGTCTCTCTTCTCTTCTTGTCCTTAGCGGGCGACCAGCGGCGGTGGTCTGCCGCGCAACCAGTACGCTGCTGTAGGTGCCGCAGGTTCTCTTGCTTGACCAACGATTATCTTCCACGCTTTTCGATCTAGGGCGATGGTTCTTGCCTGCTCGAGGTCAAGTCGAAGGGCCTTCAAATCATCCTGGATTTGTTTCATCCATGTCTTCTTTGGTGCATTTCGATGCACCCTCCAATCGGTGGGGCGGGTCAACCAGAGTAGGCCATGGGGGTAGCGGCTCGGGTCCATTCGATAAATGTGGCCAAACCAACGAAATCGGCGGCGCTGGATTAGGTGGCCGATCGTCGGTTGGCTGCCGCAGCTGGTGAGGATGGTGTCATTCGAATGACGGTCGCGAAGGGAAACGCCGAGAATGCATCTAAGGCAATGCATTTGGAAAACTTTGAGCTTGCTCAGGTCGTGTTTGAGCATTGTCCACGTCTCTGCGCCGTAAAGTAGAATGGGCAGGATCAGGGTTCGGTAAAGGCGGATCTTTGTCGCCAATGAGATGTTGTTCTTCTTCCAGATGCACCAGCGCAGGGAAGCGAATGCTGCTGCCGCCTGCCCAATTCTGGAGCGTCTCTCCACTGATGATGCCACTTTCTTCTCCTCGACGAGGGACCCCAGATATTGAAATTGTTGGACTTGTTTGATCTGCACACCGTCGAGGTGGACGATCGTTGGTAAGCCGTCGGTGGTCAGGACTTTGGTCTTCTCGGCATTAACCTTGAGGCCGTACAGTTTGGAGTGCACTCCAGTGGGGGTGTGGCGTACAACACTAGAGGCCAACTTCAAGCCCATAGCACAAGTCACCATCAAGTGAGGGATCTACCAAGGAGACGCTCTGTCCCCACTGCTGTGGGATCATTGACAAGACTGGCTACGGATACCAACTACAGAATGGATCAGTTGTCAGCAGTGTTGGGACTAACTAAACTAAACTAAATTATGATGGGACCCTAAAAAAAATTACTATGTACAATAATGGATTTCTATACATTTTACATCAGATGAAAACATTTGTTGCAAGATTCAGATAATTATTTGTTAAAAGTGAGACATTTTAAATGAGAATAAGAATGAAAAGTATTTCCTTGTGCCCCCCTCTCCCTGTTAATGCCCTACCTGCCCCCCTGGCAACACTTTGCTAGACCCGCCCCTGCACAGTTACCAGCTGTCAGCTGCTTAGAAAAGGATCCTGGTGTTATTTGTCTCTCAGAAACAGTTCATAACTTCAACTCATTCATGTCACCTAAAAGGTAAACCTGTTTCTCCATCACCTGTTCAGCTCTGATGATCCAGTAAGGACATCTCCTGGTTTCATCTTCATGTTTCCCTCTCACCACATAACCAAACCGACATCATGACCAGCAGCTTTACAGCTGTGGCTCCAGCAAACATCAGCTGATACTAGAAATTAATATTAAATAAATTCTAACAACAGCTGATCAAGCTTAAACGTGCTGCTGTTGTTTAGCGCGACATCCGCTGGTTTCCTCTTTCTGGCACAAAGTGGGCGATAAATAAACGAGAGAGAAAAGCCGATCAGCTGATCACTGATCAGTTTCATGATTGAAGTAGCAACAGGAGAGGGAGAGGATGAGAGAAGAAGAGGCAGCTGTGCAGCAAAGACAATAATTCCAGCTTTGTGTCTTTTTCATTGTAGCTGAAGTCCGGGACAAACTGTTCCTTTTCACCTCAATACGAAACGTGTAATATTTTCTTTTCGATTCTATTTTTTACGGGACGGTTGGAAACTCTACTAACTAACCTTATAAATAAAATAAGATAAAACAAGTTCAACATCATTAACATCATAGCACCCGCCCAGCTGTATATAAACTCCGTCATGCTAGCTAGTAGCAGTACGAGTTATTGTAACTGACTGTAAAAACTCAGCATAACGAGAATAAACTCCACCTAAACTTGGTTTATATCTGACCCAGAGAGACTGCAGGTCATAACTTCTTACCTGAAGTTCAGTTCACCGCCTCGGGTCTCTGCTCCTCCTGCATTTCATCCACCTGCCAGCGTGTTGCACCTGCTGCCTTCCACCACTTGCTAATGTTACTGAATCTGTGGAAGCCCCGCCATAGCCACCACCAAACAACTGAGTTATTTTTACACACCGGCCAGCATCTGGCCAATCCACCACCTTTCATTGTTTATACCGTTACGGGAAAAAAAAACGAAAAAAAGAAAAATTGCCGATGGCCAGTCCAGCTATGCCTATTTGGGATTAATGACATACTGAAAAATGAAGCAGTACATGTGATGCTTTTGAGATACTATAGCATGGAGGATCACAATCTGCTGGTACTTTTCTGCGTTTATCATTTTGACAAGATCCTCAGCACCACTGGTTGAAATGTAGTCCCAGTCTATGTGTGAAGTTTGCATTTTCAAAGTTTCAACTGAACACATGGAAAGATATTTCTTGCTGTTGTGACAGGCTCCCAGGAACAACAATAGCAGAGAAATACAATCTAAAATTTGTTCTTCGCTAACTTGTTCTTTATAGATTCCACAATTATTCACTTCTTGAATTAAGTGATTTACAGGTTAACTGGATTAAGAAGCAAGCAAACAAACAATGTTCCACCTAAAATTTGTTTCCAGTGGCTTTAAATCACTGATTTTGTTGGGTTTCTCTCCAAGCCTGTGTTCAAGGTAAATAAATATTAGTTGCAATGATAATTTGTACTGCTTTTAACAGCATACAGTATGAGTTCTGTGTAGCAAACTAAGTTACTGTGATTTTATACAGAGATCTATTTTTTTGGTGCCATCATTGTCTTAGTGGATTATTTTGCTAATGTAAGTAAATTTGTACGTAAAAAATAGATTGAAACTCATATAGAAGCTCAGTTTTCTTGCATCTGTGACAAAAGCTCAAATAGCTCCATATTTCCACATTTGTATCTGTGGATATGCAAACATGCAGTTGTGATCACAAGTTCACATCCAATCATCATCATCTAACCCACGCAGGGTCAAAGGTGCATATACAGGCTCAAATAAATAAAGTGTGTAAAATCTCACTGCAGTCAGCTGAATTCTGCATTATTATTTTATACTCGGATAAAGTGGATGAGGATGGATGGATGGATGTTTTATAACATGACAAGGCCAAGGCCTGTTAAACGTTTTGTTAGTGATCATGATTGACTTCTTTCTGACAGCATAATTTGTTTGGCAGCACTCTTCTGATGGGCCTGAAGATCCAAGAGCTAAGAAGGAGAACTGTGGTCAGTTATCCAACCAGAGTTTTGTCACAAGCTTGTTGATACAAACGTATCCTGTTAAGGTTCAACTTGCTAAGGGACATTTCACCAAATATTCATGGGCATTAATGTAGACATGTAGATCCTGTATTTATACTGAGGTTGGGGATTGCACCTAATACTTAAATAAAGATCTGTTCTGTACAGTTACTCCACCCTGAAAGATGCCTATAATGAGTCTCAGACCACAACCGTAGATCTTTGACATTAGGGCCTTTCTGGCTTTAACATTTGACATTTTTATTTTTTCTTTGCATGTCTTCGTGCTGTAGTAACAGTATACTATTACAGAATAAATGAGGTAATGTGACTTCAATGCAGGATAAGGGAAAATGCACACATGCGTGAGAACAAATGCCTTTTTGTGCTGAACATTTCTCTTTGTATTTCCTGTCGTGATTGTGGATCAAAGTGCTGCTGCTTTAAGTGCTACTTGCTCAAACATTTTGCATTGTAAAGAACATGCAAAAGGCTGAGTGTACTGCCAGCCCTCTGTATGAACTATGTGTGTAATTATTTGCATGATAGTCAGCATGCAAGAAACAAGTGTGTTTCTAATACTACCTTTGCTTGTTTTCTTTGTCTCCGTTTTTTTGCTCTAGAAATCAACAGCAACAACATGCCAGGTGAGTGTTTTTAGTGAATAATGTCAGATGGAAGCAGATATTCAGACAAGTGCAAACAGACTTGGTGACGACAATGTGAAGCTACTGTTCCAGCTTAATGAAATGTTCCTGTCTGTGCTTTAACATAATTCACATTGCATTCCCTGAAATGGGATATTTCTTTTACAAAGGAGGGACAAATGACTAAGACTATTACTATGACACTATGTGTTAATTATTCAACCATGTGCAGATATTAGGTTTATCTTTCAGTTACAAATGTCCATAATATTTCTGTTTATTCCTTCAGAAATCTGATATTCAACACAGATTATAGGATCCTGCCTCTTGGGCTGTCTCATCATACCAGTAGTTACAGATTACTTACCTCTAACAAGTTCTATAGAGATATTTAAGTATCTGATTGAAAACAAAGAATTTATTAAACTAGAGCATTGCATTAATTCTCATTATTTTACTGTCTTTGCACAAAAGTGATGAAATTCAGTTCATGTGGACTAAAACTTCACAGGACATTCATGGTGTGTCAAATGCTTGGACAGCTCACGAGCTGGCCTTCAGGAAATCATATTTAAAATATTATATATTCTGTCACAATTCATTTTAAAGCAGCTATAATACTAAAAAAAGACTAAACCAAAAAATAGAACTGGACAATAACCAGAAACAGAAAAACAGACATGTCACTCCCATCAACTGGATGTTTAAATAAGCAGCTGTGTGTTAGCGTGACAGGGACATAAACTAATGAACTGAAGACATTTCAATAATGTGTTTATAATTTGTGTTTGCTGCCTCAAACAGCCAAAGAGCAAAGAGCAGATATCGCATTTTTATGTCTGTACAGCAGGTCAGTTGAGTTCTGCTACACAAACGTAAAAAGCACACATGAGCTTTTTATGTGTTATACTCGTTACGAGGAAGCCTCCTGCTCAGGCACAGGAAGCTTTGTGGCACCTGTGTGATCTGATGTTATGCTTTCACTATGGGTAAAAGCATGAATCATCACAATACCAGAGGGTATTGAAACTAAGTGTTCTCTTTGCTGAAATATTCTCTCTCTTTCCTCTCTTTTATACCTTTCCTATTTTCTTAAGGCCTTGCACATATGATGGCAGAGCAAGGTATGCCTCTCTTTATGTCTTTGCTACAAGTCTATCTTTGGTTGTGACTCTGTTGTGCTGTGCTGTGGTTGTTTTTGATGGTGTTGTTCAATACACGATGTTATTTTATTTCCCCTCTCTCCTTCTTTTTACTGTCCTAAGAAAACTGTAACAAACAAAGCTTGTTATTGGTTTGTATGTAAAACGTGACACTAAGGAGAAAGATGGATTGGCAGTGATTGAGCTAGAAACAATGTGAAACAGGTCAGGGTGATTAGTGATAGAGATGGACACGGGTGTTCACTGCGCACACTAAAAAAAAAGGAATAGAGATGGAAATGTAGTAACAAGTTACAGGTGTGGTACGAAGATGGGAGGAGTACTCGGAGAAGCAGATAAATGAAGAAAGATGAGAGAGAGATTAGGATGGATGGAGGAAAGTTAGTGATTCAGAAAGTGCAGAGAATTAATAAGGAGGAAGTGAGCAGCTTTAAGGCAAGGCAAGTTTATTTGTATAGCACAATTCAACAACAAGGTGATTCAAAGTGCTTTACAGAGACATTAGAAACAAAAACAAATAAAAAGCATGATTTAAAATTGATTAAAACAAGCAAATAAACTAACTAACTAATTAACAAACAAACAAAAAAACAAAACAGTATATAAAATCAAAACAGATAAAATCAGAACAGTAGATAAAATCAGTAGTTAAATGTAAGTTTTGAAATTTAAGCTTGAAGTGTGGATTTGGTGCTTTATTCAAATGCAGTTGAGAACAGGTGAGTCTTCAACCTGGATTTAAATAAACTGAGTGTTTCAGCTGATCTGAGGCTTTCTGGGAGTTTGTTCCAGATATAAGGAGCATAAAAGCTGAATGCAGCTTCTCCGTGTCTGGTTCTGACTCTGGGAACTGATAAAAGACCGGATCCAGATGACCTGAGGGATCTGGAAGGTTCATACTGGGTCAGGAGGTCACTGATGTATTTTGGTCCTAAACCATTCAGAGCTTTATAGACCAGCATCAGAACTTTAAAGTCTATCCTCTGACGGACAGGCAGCCAGTGTAAGGACCTCAGAGCTGGACTTTAAAAAAGGGATTGAGAGTGAAAGGCACTTGGTCCACATCACACACTGGTGCAGGTGTGTAGATGTCTAGGAGAGAGGAGCTGTGCCGGTACTGATGGCTACAGAGGGAGTGGAACCATACCATGAAGCTATGAGAAAGAGCTTTTAAAGTGACCCGATGATCAGTGAGCAGCAGAACGAGAATTACAAATGTGATGCTTGCTCTGAGAATGTTGATGGAGAAGTACAGAGAAGGTCAGAAGGGCTGCACCATTTCTATCTGGAGAAAACGTGTCGTAATGTCAAGAGAGACACACTGAGATGTCTAGTGAGAGTAGGAAGACCGGAGAGGTGAAAGCATGCAGTGGAAAGAAGAGGAATGAATGTCAGTAGAAACGGGACAAAATGCATGAGTATGAATGAAAGGGTAAATTAGTGAAACAGCTCTGCATGGTCATGTAATATATATTGTAAGTTTATTTTCATGCATGCATCTCTACTTTTAGATATTATACAAATTTCCTCATTTTCCTGATGAGTGTTCTATCCGCCCCTTTTCCCAGAAGTCCTCTATTTGAGTAGTTACTGCTCGTGGCTTTCATGTGTTTGAGATGTACAGTTACATCAAAGATGGTGCTGTGCATTATTGAATTCTATGACATGATATGGTTGGTGTCTGCTATAATTTGGACTAAATTTCCCTCTTCTTCTTCTCCCCTCTCTGGGCACTCTTGGCTGTGGATTCTGTGCTGTCTCCGCCTCCCCTGCTCTTCTAGCTAAAAGCAAAGGTACAGCTTTTTCAAAATCTTTCCTTTTCCACCTCTATGAAAAGCGACGGTTGTTCTGTGAGTGTTTAAGAGCAGTGCAGTGTTATGTGTTTGATGTTTTAAAGGTGTGTGTTTGTCTGTATTCACTTCTCTTGTGTAATGGCTTTTCACAGAGAGTGCTTGGAGTAAGCAAGTAATTAAGCCAACTTTAATTGAAGAAGGAAAAAAACACACTGTGTTGCTTTCTGCTTGTTTATAAAAGCGTGCATGTGTTTTGTAATTTGATCTGAGTTGTATACAGTACACCTGTGCAGAAGCTGCATGATGTTAAAAGAACAAGCGTCACTGTGGGGCAGTTTACAGAACAACCAGGAGAAAATAAAGGATCTTCTCCTGGCTGATGGAACCAGTGACGGAGCAGGTTGTCCTTAAACAATGCTCAAAATGTAACCAGTGTGTTGTGGTCTGAGAACAATGTAGGTGCATTTAGTTTATTTATGTTACTGATAATTCATCTTATCAAGCAAAATCATGCAAACAGACCACTGATACAGAACAGCAGATCATTTAAGCTTTCCAGTAATTTCGTTTTTAGATAGATGCTGTTGATGTTCAATACCCGATTCTGCATCTCTTAATACAAACGTGCTCCAGAGAAGGGAAACTGCTGTTGGTGACCTTTTGGGCAGATTTCTGCAGCGCCGTCTTGTCAGCCTCAGAGCAGTTGCCATAACAGACAATTATAGAAGAAGTCAGAACACTCTCCACCAGAACACGGTACCCCAAGATCAGCTACTTCAGCCTCCTCATGAAAAACAGTCATCGATCAGCTTCCTTCATAATACTGGCTGAATTCGTGGCCCATGTGAGGTTGCTCTTCCACCTCTTTCCTGTACGTAGAGATCAGAGATCAGACCAACAACAGCCATCTACAAACTTCAGAATATGATTGCCTGGATACTTTGCTGAGTAATCACGTGAGAAGTGTACACAGTAGAGGCCACCATACACGCCCTTGTGGAGAGCTGGCTTTAAGTTTGATGGTGGAGGATGGCCTGCCTGTCAAGACGTCCAGCACCCAGTTACACACAGTAACAGCTTATTGGTTAGTGTCTGTGGAATGATGGTATTAAATACAGAGTAAATAAAGATACAAATACAAATACAAATACAGAGTCAGAGTTCAGAAAGAGCAGGCTGACACATGCATGAGAGCAGAGTGGATGACAGACTGGTTCTTCCTGTATGCATGCTGCTGTGGACCCACACTGATGTCAACTGACTCCTGAATGTGGCCAAAAGCAGCCATTCCAGCCACTTCATGATAAGTGGGGTGAAAGCCACCAGGCAATAGTTACTCATGGCTTTCTCAGCAATATTTTCATAGTATTTTTACTGACATGTAGTGCACATATGTTTTGGGCAAAAACATTTTTGAATATTAAAATACGAACATTTGTAACAAACAATTGACAAATTAGCCAATGCAAAACTTTATCTGCCTAATAAAAAAAGAAGATAATCTTCTCACAAACTGGTGTTTGATTTTGAAACAGG